TCAGTAGCTCAGAAATATAAGTCCTGAAGTGTGGGGCCCTGTGCTCACTGGGAAAGTTGCAAGTGGGGGGTGGCATCCTCTGTGCCCAGCCCTGTGCGGTCCCTGCTCACAGCCAAACCTCTGCTCCTGTGAGCATTGTTGCCACCTGCTTTGTGAAGCTGGAGAAGGAGACAGAGGTAAGATTCAAGGTGCAGATGAAACTCATTGTCTAGAAGATTTCAGACACAGCGTAAATGGTGCGTAAATAGATGTGGGTGGCCCTGGCTTTTATCTTAGAGTGGATTTTGTTTTGGTCAGAACTGCCTATGTTCCAAGTGACAAAAACCTGAGCCAAACTGGCTTAAGCAATGTAGGGTTAAGGCCATAGCTACAGCAATAACTAAGTGACTACGCCAGTTGTATGGCCAGGCCAATTGTATTGTTAAAGCAATTCATAACTAAAGCCAAACGTTTCATTATTTTAGTTATACTAAGTTTCCATTTACATTGTCAGGGCTGGGGCTCAGGCCCTTCAAACCCATTGTACAGGCTGGGTCACCAGACCCCTCACATGCAGGTCCATGCTAGGTAATTGGGAAAGATCCCGGGAGGCATTGACCGATGGCATGAGCTCAAGTCCTCAGCAGTAGCAGCAGCGGTGGCCTCTTGGAGCATCCGGGAGCACTGGCAGCAACAGCCTCCAGCAGCAGTAGCAGCCTCCCTGTGCCCCCCCCACCCCCTGGGGCAGGGGGCCCTGTGGATCAGAGCCACTTGTCCTTTATATTTACGTCCGTAACCCAGGACACTTGGGAGCACATACACAATTACATTAGACAGTAGCCAAGGAACACCGGGGCGCATGTGCATATTTACATCAAATGCTTGGCAAGATTCTGAACATCTGAGGGGCCCTGACCATTTTCCTATATTTTCCCCACAAGCAAGAAGGGAATGTCTTGGTTGTTGTAACCTAAATGCTGGTTCAGGACTCAAATGAGGGCACCAGGACTTAGTTTCTGGCTCTTTCTGGGCTCTGCCCTCTTCTGGGTTGGTGGTAGCAGTTCCAGCCCCTATATCCTCTCAGGATTCTGGTCTAGCTGGAGAGAGTGAGGGTCTCTGTCCAGATGCCCAAGCAAAAGCCTCATCGCATTGCAGGGGCTCTGATTTGGTCACATGCCTGTCCCTTTGTCATTGTGGCAGGGAGTGTGTGAAGCACCAATTGGCTTAGGCGTGGCTCAGGGGAAGCCCCTGGGACTCACCTGGTGGAACAGTTATCACAGGCAGCAGGGAGATCTGTGCTGTGTGGACAGTAAACAGCCACTGTCCCTCCTGTACTGATGCTCCATTTCTACCCTGGACACTCTTCCCCAGTGTGCTCGTGGCCCTCACTTCATTCAGCATCCACCCAGCTCACCGGCCACTCCTCAGAGAGGGTCCACTCCTACTCTTCCTGGAGTGACGCCCTCCACCCTCTGCATCCCCTTCCTCTGCTTGCTTTTTCCTCGTAGCACGCAGCACTGACGTCTTACAGCTGGCTGTGCCTGCTGTTCCTCTCTTCCCCGATATGAAGGCAGGGACTGGGTGTTATTCATAATAAGCCAGTGCCTAGAACAGTGCCTGGTACAGAGTAGGTGCTGTAAATATTGACTGTCAGGCTTGTTTTGAACAGTTCATTGATCTCAAGTTAATTTGCATATATGATTTAGGTGTTAAGCATTTTTTTGCTGTTACTGATTTCATGCACTAAAGAAAGTAAAAATGATGTAATTTTTTAATTGAAACATCAATTATGCATATTTGTGGGGTAAATATAATATTTGAAATATACTGGGAATTATTATATAAAGTAACTAATATTTAACTTTTTTCGCTGTTTATGTAATTGAGTTTTTGTTTTTATAGGTGATATTGTGGGTCTGTATGATGCTGCTAATGAAGGCAGTCAGCTGGCCACTGGCATCCTGACCCGGATCACGCAGAAGTCGGTCACAGTGGCCTTTGATGAGTCCCATGATTTCCAATTGAGCTTGGACCGAGAGACTTCCTACCGATTGTTAAAACTTGCCAATGATGTCACTTATAAACGACTGAAGAAGTAAGTGTATGTGACTGGAAATCCTATGTTACATTTTCCTTTAAACACAGCTCACTCCCTCCTACCACTTCTCACGTGGAGGAAAAGGGAGCAACCCCATTTGGTCACGAGTCATCCTGTGCCCCTCGTGTGAGATGGTGGCAGTGTTGGGTGGGGGGTGCTCAGTGCACTGAATTGCTGGTTTTTGCTGAGCTGCTAATTTTTGTTTTCTCCCTTGGCAGAGCTCTAATTACTCTAAAGAAGTATCATTCTGGCCCCGCGTCCTCGCTTATAGAGGCCCTCTTTGGTGGATCAGTCCTCAGTCCTGCCAGTGAAATACGTAAGGACTTTTAGGTTTTCTTTCTTCATTGAAATCACTGCTTAAAGTACCAAGAACAATGTGACCATGGGCCATATTAGCAGGTATTTGAGAATATACAATTAGTAGAAGTCTACCGTAATGTCTTTGTACAAATTTTTCTCAATGACTTGCATAGACTGTCTTCTCTGTACTCAGTACTATAGAAGTAGCTCATTTCACTGAGTTTTTAAATAACGTTCTTTCTAGCATATCTAAATCTTTTATTTTGAAATGTAAGGGTATTTCTTCTGGCTCAGTGCTCTGTGAAAGTAGAGGATAGCTGATCATACTTTATGCTTGATAGCAGTTTTTGATTTGAAAAATCTCAATTCCAAAAACCTCTGATTGTTTTCTCAGCATACTTCGAATTTAAGATAATTTATTTCTGGTTATAAGAGTAATGTGTGGTAATTGTAGAAAATTTGGAAATAGAGAAGTATGTAAACAAGGGAAACAAATCACTCCAAAACCTGCCGCTTAGAGTTAGCCTTATTACTACTATCTGTGTGTGTTTTTCTAGTCTTTTTTCCTCATCCATATAGAACAACATATCTATTTTACACACATGTAAACACACACACAAACCCTCCTCTCTTCGCTCATGGTAGCCTGTGTACTTTTTCGTGTGCTTCAGTGTTCTTGAAGAACCTCATTTTATTTATCTATTTATTTAGAAGCTCTCAGTCGGCTTTATTGCAATTCTAGAATTGGGCAACATGTTATCCCATAAAATAGAATGTGTTCCAACGAGCCAAGCAGAGGACATTGGTTTTATAGACAGAAAAAGGCTAAAGAAAGTGGCCGGTTGGCTCAGTTGGTTAGAGCACAGCCATAGAACACCAAGGTCATGGATTCTACCCCCTTATAGGCCAGCTCCCAAAACAAACAAACAAAAAAGAAAGCAGAAACAAAGAGCAAAAAGCAGATTGGTCACTTCAAAGTTTCCTTCCTTGTAAGGTGGGGACAGGGAGACAGAACAATAGAAAAATAACATCAGGTTACTTAAGGCCATTTCTTCTGGGTAAGGATTAAGGCAGAGGGAACTTCACTGTCATAACTATTGAGGATTTAAACTGGCCTGTTGGGTGGGGAGGGATTGTTTGTTATCTTTCTCCTGACTTCTGAGAAAGTCAGACCAAAGCCTAAGTGACATGAAACTTAGCAAGGGTGACTCCATGTTGATTTTTAGTCCTACTTTTTGGGACCTAGCGTAGAAACTTAGCCCAAAACAAATTTTATTTAATAGTTCTGAGAGCCTGACCAAAACTAAGGGCATTAGCGCCACTCTCAGTTACCATCTTCCTGGGTTCCCGGTCTCAGCAAGCCATTCCTAGGTTAGGGTGTCCTCATTATCATGTGTGCATTATTTTTGTGTTGCGTTGTGGTTGGAAGAATCCCATTTCCAAAAGGAGTTTGTTATCTCATCAAGCAGCTGCCCATAATTTAACAATCATCTAGATACTGGACATGGCCAATTTTTAAAGCATTGGTTTTGGTCAGGTCTGATGCAGGAGTTCCCG